CGTCGCAGGCTCACTATAGGCTCGGCCACGTTGGGATTTGGCTTTGTCAGCTTCGGCTCCGGTAGTAACATGCGTCAGGATCTAGCTCACTGTAGGCTTGGACAAGAAGAGATGACATGGATGGAAAAAAAAATTCATTATTTTTAAATTAAATAAAATGCCAACTCATAAAACAAAGGTGCCATGTCCCTAGTTAAGAAAAAAAATTGATTTGCTTGCAAGTTAATGTGCCACCTGTCCATTTAACTGACGGAAGGATGGTTTTGGTACTGAAAATGAAAGTTTAAGGATAATTTTGATACTTTTTAAAGTTGAAGGACAATTTTGGTGCCAAAGTGAAAAGTTGAGGGACCAAAATGGTACTTAAACCTTCTTAAAATGCAGGATAGTAAAATGGTTGTGGAAAGCATGTGCTAAATGGTGGGGGATCGATGTATCTTTGGGCACTAGTTGGAATACGTTTGAGCAGTTAGGGGAAGGGAGCAAAGACTCACACATAAAGGAAGGATGGGACTACATTTGGAATGTGGTGGTTTGGTCAGTATGGCTAACAAGAAATCAGAAGATATTTCATTAAAAAGAGCGAAAAAAGAAAAGATGCTGGAGCTCATACAACTAAGAGCTTTTTTATGGATTAACGCAAGAAAGGTAAGTTGCACATTTAACCTTTCAGATTGGCTTATTAATCCAAGTGCATGCCTTACTCTTAACTGCGGGAGGAAAAAAAAAAAAAAAAGAAAGGGGGCAGAACAAATTAGGTGGGAAGAAGGGACATTATCTAAGTGGATGGTTCTTGACTTTTGATTATTATGTAAAATGGGTTAGAGTACCCCTTGTACTCAGATTATCAATGAAATAATGCTTTGCCATTCAAAAAAAAAAAAATTGCATTGTATAACTGAAAAAGAATTTCTTTAGATTTTTTTTTTTCTTGATGGAAGAACTTTTTAGTACACCAAATGTTAATGAGGGAATCAACTCCAAAAAATCATATATGATGTGTAATTGAATTGTATAAAAAGATTTTCTTTAGATTTGTTTTCTTGATGGAAGATCTTTTTAGTACACCAAATGTTAATTAATTAATGCCCCTATTATTTAGCTTTGCAACTTACTAAAAAAATCTATTTAGTATTGCAAAGTTTTCAACTTTTGAACATTTTATACGATGAATCATAAAAACTATTGATAAAATCTATTAATAAGGTAAAGAGATTATAATAATAAGACTAAGGTGGCTGGGAGTGTTTTCTCATTTCATGATTAGCAATCAATACTGGTTGAGTGTGTTGCTATTGTTGGACAATATAAAAGATGTTTAAAGCAATAACATAGACTTCGACAAAGATATGTGGGAGGTAATCAAGAAGGATGTGGTTGGTTTCATACAAGAGTTCCACAAGAATAAAAAACTAGTCTCGAGGCTAAATGCTTCTTTCACTACTCTTATTCCCAAAACGATTAACCCACAAAAGATTGAAGAATACAGGCCCATCTCTCTTATAGGAGCCATGTATAAGATTCTAGCTAAACTTTTGGCAAACAAACTTTGACAAACTATGTCAGAGATCATAGGGGAACATCAAATGGCTTTCATGGGAGGTAGGTAGTTGATCGATGTAGTGGTGATGGAAAATGAGATTATTGGTGAAACTAAATGGAATAAGAAGCCGATTTTCATTTTTAAGATTGACTTTGAAAAGGCTAATGATAAGGTGTGTTGGAGTTTTTTAGACTATATGATGCTCAAAATGGGGTTTGATAACACCTGGAGAAGTTGGATTAGGGAATGCCTTTGTACCAGTAAGCTATCGATGCTTGTTAATAGGAGCCCTACTAAGGAATTCTCTGTCAATCGTGATTTGAAGTAAGGAGACCCACTTTCCCCCTTTTTATTTTTTATTGTTGCTAAGGGGTTAAATAGACTCATTTATATGGTTGTTAGTAGGAACTTGTTCCAAGGAGTGCTAGTGGGTAGAAATGGTGTCGCATTTTCACATATTCAATTCACAGATGGTACAATCTTGTATAGGGAGGCTACAAAAAATAATGTTTGGGCGGCAAAGTGTTTGATGAGGATCTTTGAGATAGTTTTTGGTCTCAAGGTCAACTATTCAAAGAGTCAACTATTCAAAGAGTCAACTTTATGGCATTCATGTTGATGATGTTTGGAAAGGTAAAATGGCATGGCTACTAATTGCTTTACAAGGGAGTTGCCCTTTAAATATCTGGGAGGACTGGTGAGGGAAAATCACAGGAGATTATCATTTTGGCAGCCACTAGTGGACTTTATCAAGAAGAAATTACTGAGCTAGAAAGGTAAATGGCTCTCATTCGAAGGAAGATTAACCTCATTGAACTCTGTTTTCACTTCACTACTTGTGTTTCTTTTGCCCATTTACCTCGCGCCTAACAATATTGTGAAGATTATCAACAAAATCAGACAAGAATTCATCTAGGGGGGTTTGTGGTGAGTGTAGGAAAGTTCAATGGGTTAGTTGGGAGAGAGTGTGCAAAGCAAAAGAAGAGAGAGACCTCAGGGTGAAAGATCTTAGAATGGTTAACCTTTCTCTACTTGGTAAATGGTAGGGGAAGTTGGCCAATGGAGAAGAGAGTTTACGGTTCAAGTTAGTTAAGGAAAAGTATGGAGATACGGGTGATAACTATTTGTCTTGGGTGAGGGAAGGCAGAGAGATGGGATTAGATTGGCGAAAGGATGTGTGCAGGATAGATGTGTCAACGATGGATAAAAGTGAGTGGTTGTCTAGTGGGTTGGATGTTTGGGTAGGTGATGGCAACTAGTTAAATTTCTGGAGAGATGTATGGTGTAAGGAGGGAGCTTTAGCTAACTTATTCCCAAGGCTTTATTTGCTTTCTATAGGTTTGGATAACAAATTAAATCAAATAGGATTTTGGCTAGATGGAAAATGGTGTTGGCAATTGACATGGTAGCGCAACTTCCTCTCTCAGGAGTTATAAGTCAAGGATTAGTTAGAAAGCTAGTTGGGATGGTGCAATTTCACCAAGGACAGAGCAATAGATGGATTTGGAGACACAATGCATATGGCCATTACTCAACTAAGTTTGGTTATGCTTTATTGGCTTCCTTGTAGGATCTAACCTTCAAGCACATCTTTGGAAGAGTCTAAAACCAAGTACTTCCCTCCAAAATCTACAGTTTCAATTGGCAACTATTACTAGACAAGTTACTTACAAAAACTAATCTGTTTAAGAGGAAAATTATCAAGGAGCCCACAGAAATCATTTGTTATTTATGTGGATAACATATAAAAGATGTTTCACACTTGTTTCTCCACTATAAGGTAACCTCAAAACTCTAGAATAAATGTTGTAGATGGTGGGGAATACAGATAGTTATTATAGACAACATTAGGGACACCTTTGTTCAACATGAAGGATTTTCAACTTCTATTGGTTTGAGTATGGGTTAGGAGATAATGTGGTTTGCATTGACTTGGACTATATGGCTTACAAGGAACGAGAACGAGAAATAGTTTAATAGGGGTGACATTGACACTCAGAAAATGTTTGATTTAATTCAGGTGAGGTCATTTCACTGGTTAGTGAATAGAGGTGAGATTCAATGGTTAGTGAATAGGGCCAAGATTCAAATGTTGTTCTTCTCGAATTGGATTTTAAACCCCTATTTGTGTTTCATGGGAATTAGTTGATTCTAGGTGGGGCTTCTACTTTCCCACTCTGTATTTTGATGGGTTGAGTACTTCTTGTACTCCATGACTAAAATTTTTCTTTTCGAAAAAAAAAAAAAAACACGTAGACTTCAACAGAGGCAAGGATAACATAAGAGGCCTAGCGTAGAGTCATGGTCATTTATTGTGTTGTCTCTGGTTATGGAAGAAACTTATGGTTTATTGCTTTGTTGGTATCGAGATGGTTAATACATTGTATTCAAATATGAGTAAGAGTACTCGTATTCTATATAATAAAAAAAAAATTTCTTTTGTTGAAAAAAAAAATTCCTACACTAATAGATCATTAGAGGATAAAAGAAGCTAAATCTACAGCACTAGAAATAGAAGATATTGCCCATGGCTAATTAAAAAAAGAAGATTTCTCCTATGACAGATCTAGACAATTAAGTAAAGTGAACCATCTATCATTAGAGATTGCTAGAGCAATCACCAAAAGGGAAAAGGCAGGCAAAGCTACCAAAACAAAAAAAAAAAAATTACCATCATTGGTGTTCTACACTACTAAGTAATCCTATCTACTAACCTAGCTTCCACTCAAGGTAGGTAATATTCCAAACAATAATGCCTACACACAGGCATGCACTAATTTAGAGGAGTGTTGGAGTCCCTTTCAAGAATCACCAAATTCATTCCTAAGTTATCCTAGAGGAGAGTAGGATCGTCCTTCTGTCTCCCAACTATGCCATCAACAATTGAAGTATGTGTTATGAATTTCAATTGGTACGAGCCCATGCCCCATCACTATGATGCCATTCTCTTCAACTTGCTAAGGCAAAACTTGATAAAAATATATATATATATATATAGAGAGAGAGAGAGAGAGCCCAAGGAGAGGCTCCAAAAGAGGGAGACAAAACAACCCCCATAAAGGAGAGAATAACCATTGAAAAGAGAGGACCCTCGAGAAAAGAGTGAAACTCTCATATTTATTCATCATCCCTAATTGCCAATGGGAAGAAAGATGGCAACTATGAGGAAAAGGGAAGCAAGAGAGGGTGGAGAGGATTAAGGGCAATAAAGGAGCAGAGATGGCTAAGGTTTTCCTTTGAACTATTAAAAACTTGACATCAAATTAACTTTTTTTTTGGAGACATTAATTGGTATATTCTTTTATTCAACACACTACACAATATATTCATTACAAAATTATTATTTTTTTATTTAAAATAAAAAATAGACAAATTTAAAGATATAACTATATATATAAGATATAAGAATAAGCTAAATCAATTATATTTATATTATATTTTAATAATTGAACCAAATAGATATTGCAAGTTATGTCAAACCAAAGAGTATATTAGTCATTTTCTATTTTTTAGTTACTAGATACAACTCAACTTTGCTCTTATTACCTATAATATTTTTTAGTTTCTAAAGTATGTCTTACTATACTTCATTGCGCCTAATTAACCGATCAAATTAATGCATATTAATTCTTTTATGCTTATAGTGTTTCTCTTATCATTTTTCTTTACCGCCCAGTATATATTTTAAATAGTTAGTTGGGACACTTTGGCATAGTGACCCGATGACTTTAAACCTTCTTGAAAAGTGCATCCCCCAATCCTTTGACTGGTGTTCAAACCCCTACCCCTTCATTGTACACCTACCCCCTCATTGTACACCGTTCAAAAAAAAGAAATAGTTAGTTGGGTTGCTGTGTGTTCAAAGGTATGATTGACGGATAAATGGGAAGTTTTAAGTAAGGTGTGATCGATATTCAATCAAATTAGTAGGCGGCATATGCACATTGCCATTGGGTTCATCATCGTGTGTACTTTAGCCACCCTCCCACGATTTGGGTGCCACACTGCCACACATATATTAGCTTTGCTATACTGAATCTATCATCGATACATTTTTTTGATTCATCGTATTTTTTAATTATTAATATAATTTAATTATTAAAATATAATATAAATATAATTAATTTAATTAATTTTTACATATTATATATATAATTAT